ATAACTAACGTTAACATGTTAGCAGGGAAAATGTTTAATATTTCAGTAGGTTTAGAGTTTAGGAACACTAAAGCCTATTTCCACTGGGCGATAACCACGCGTCCTCGTTTCCACTGGTGTCAATGGGAATTCCCGCTGACTATATCTATGCATATAATATAGTCGAAGTGTCTGTTTGTAATATCAAAAGAATAATTCCAGATTTCGGGAAGATGTATTTAAATTGCTGATAACGAAAACTCTGTTTGTCCGTCTGTCTGTCTGTCTGCGTTTGTTTCGGGTAATCTCCGAAACGGTTGGGCCGTTTTCGACCGGACTTTCACTGAAGGGTAGCTGACATATAGGCTACTTTTTTATCTTAATATTGCGTGGACGAAGTCGCGGACAACAGCTAGTAGACTATAGATATATTATTTACAAGTTATTTAAGCCTTTGGGCTACGGCGGATCCAGGGGGGGTCATGGAGGTCATGACACCCCCCCTGAGTTAGTTGGTTAAGAGCTTGACGACATATATTTACATATTTTGTCAAGCTCTTGACTTAACCACGACTATGTGACCCTCTGGCGCCAAAGCTGGATCCGCCCTTGCCTTTGGGTATAAGACAAAATGAGTTATAGTATACAATTATCAATTTTTAACGATGTATTAGTTAACATAGAAGAATTTCGAAAGAAAGTTGTCATGACTTATAATTCACGCAACTTTCGATGTCCCTGTACTTTTTCACGGACGTTGTCAAACGCTAAGAACTAGTAATATAAAACTAATAAAGTAGTAAATCATTTTAAACCATCAAAAGATCTATTATATAAACATTCATGTTTTATAGACAAACTATAAAACTACTGGTAACCTTTGATGGACCATTTCAATCCACAGAATGGTTGTAAATAGTCGAAACTATAGATTTGATTTACAGCACAAAGGTTACGAAATGTAAAACATTACAGTCGCGGGCGAAATCTAGTATGCTAGTATACTTTCGCCCGCGATTCCATCCGCGTGGGATTAAAAAAAAACAAAAATGCCTAAGATTATAAGAAGTAAGATTGTATCGCATTTTAAATGTTCATCGGTAGATTGTTCATATTGTAGTTTCCAAATATTCTTTGAAATTAGCTCTCGAAACATGCGTTCTTAGTATGTCTAAATTTATACATCACGTAAATGCATCGATAAATTTCTAGGTTAATACAATATCAATCTTATTCCTAGAACACGTCGAAGCGCAGTATGCTACGCCAAAAATTGTTTTCCTTTAAATTTGAGCAATGTTTTTAATTCGTGAAACGAAAAACACACATCCGAAAACTATAAACAACCAACAAAACATCGCAACATATATTTAAGTAGATTTCCGATCGTAAATAATAAAACAAACCAACTTTCAGGGACTATATTTAAAACAGTGCGAAGAGAGGCATCCTACCGCGCGGACATGAGCGTTCGCCATTGACTGGAAAATGTTCAGCTTTTTTAAAAAGAAGGGTAAGGCCGAGAACGCGCCGGAAACGCCCGAAGGCATCCGAAGACGGCCGACAGATCAAGCGACTAGACGAGGCTCAGTCGACGCGCGCGCTCTCCCACACGACAATGAAACGAACGAAAAATCTACAACGCTGCAAAAAGATGTAGTCAACCTACTTATCCCTGAGACAGACTACTCCCAGAAGACAGGAGTGAGTGCGTTACTCCAGATAATGGCGGGCAAAAGGAGGAGGAACAGAAGGAAAACACGCGCAGACTCATGCCGTATCAGTCCGCCCAAAGAGACGCAAATGCAACGCAGGAACTCCGATACGACGCAACCTACGCCCACACCCGCCCAAAATACACGAGTCGAGCCGCGCTCGCCGAACGATCCGGCTGATTTCGTCAAAGCTCTTGTCCTGCAAAAATACGCGAGCAAGCCAGAAACAAAACAACAACACGTGTCGTTAGTATACGTATCAAATGAACCAGAATTGGATGAGAAACGACACGCAGAAGCATTACTACGGGAGATAGCGCGAAGTATTGACTGCGACATTGGTATAAATGATAAACAAATGGGCAACGGGGACAGTAAACCTAACGACCCGTTGTACGAATCAGTCGTTGAAAACATTGATAATTACAAAAGCGATCTCAAAGTCGAACTGGACAGGCTACTACAGGACGAAGACGAAACGAAAATCGATGAAAAAGATCAAGCGGAGACGGAAAGTCTAGATTCACCAGCAAATAAAAAGAAATCTAATCTTAAAATTCCAAAATCAGATAATGAAGGTTGCTCTGATGATGACAGATCTGACTGTGGGAAGAAACGCGTCACATTTAGGAAGCACGTTATCTTCGATGATGGAGAACAGCAGACGGATGATGAAATGAATTCTTCTTTCGAATCCCTTTCTTCAGAAGAAGAAGAGAATGAATATCTGGAAGATGCTTTACCAGACAATGATGAACTTCTAGGTGGTGTTTTAGTGACAAGAGAAGATGACAATAAGACAGTGATAAGTGTGACTGATGATGAATCTATAAAGATTAAAGTGGAATGTTTCGATGATGGACTTAAGAGGATTTCTAGTGATAACAGTGATAGTGGTTTTATAGAGATTAGTGAAAAGACTGATGAGACGGAGAAAGAGTACGGTGAGAGTGCCAGCGAGAGTGAGAGTGAAGAAGAAATTGTAGAAGTTATAGAGGAAATAGTAGAAATTAAAGATTCCAGAAGAGAGAATGGTACAACAAATGAAGAGTGAGTAGTTTTTGTCAATTCCTGGGATCTTGTAACCACTAAAATGCTATTTAATTTCATTTTTTTTTTAATAATTTCTTCCAATTCTAAGTTTTTAATTTTTTTCTAGCTTTCTACTTTCTTCTATACTGTACTTTCTGAAATATATGTACTTGTGTATCTCCTATTTCTTTTATGAATAACAAATTAGGTTACATGATAAAGTTTTTCATTATTTATTAGGATTAGAGTAACGAAATGCAGTTATATGAAGGCGTCGCGAAACATCTAGGTTATATTTCCTCGTCGCTTCCAATAAAAAAAAGTCTTCACATCACATCTATCTATTGTCTAAAAAATTTGAAGAAATCTACACTTTTCTAACAATCATTACTAATATAACAATAACAACAATGTAACTAAGGGTTTTCGTTGAAACTTTTTGAAAGTCGTTACGTTCAAAAGTGTTCTAACTTCCTGAAGTTCGTTGCCAAGTTTTGTTAAATTAACAAAATATATTATTGTAGACTTTGTTTATGTTTATTTATACAAGCTTTTGCTGTTTCCTGAAACCTAAATTTTGTTTCTGTCTGCTTAATCATACAGAGATTTAAAAGTTTTGTTAATGGCGTTTCTTTCTTTATTTAGACAATTTTCATTGAAATATTTGCCTTGTTGTTACATTATCTGTATTTCTATTACCCGTTAATTTAACAAAGTCAATGATATTTGCTCTTTTCTGCCAAAATAGAACATCGAAAACAATATCTTTGTTTTGAATACAAGTCACGAACAAAAATCAAAACATTGTTACATATGAAAACCGAAACATGCCATCAAAGGCTGAAAATAATTCATGATTCAAGAGCTATTCTGCTTGTGCGTCAATCGACAATATGGCGGCCGTGTCACGTCAAAAAGCGCGCGCTTTCCGGATATAGATTATAAAAAGTTTTTAATTAACTTTTACGATGTGATAGGAATTTATGAAGCATGGTGTTAACGATTTCGTTTTCTTAAATTTAATAATATTTCAGACATTTCTAGAAACAATCTTTAGTATAGAATAGATAGATAAAAAGTTTAAGTAGCTACTCCATTGTTTTTTGCCATTTATGTTAAGAATTTTTTTGTGTAATCTAAAAATCAATAATAAAAACAATGCATCAAGATTACTTTTACAATCAGGCGAACATTTGTCTTTGTTCGGAAGTGACAGTTGTTTTTTTCCCCGCCATATGCACGAGTGACGCACGAACGAGGGAAATGTTGTGTTTGCGTTCAGAAATGCGATAAATTAAAGTCGAACAGATTAAAAAGTACGAATTATTAATTAGTTTACTCTCTAAAAATGTAGTAAATTAAAAAACCAGCGTGTAAAAATGAATTAACAATTTATTGTTATTTTGGTAATTTATTTACATGTAGAAGTCTAATCTATTATTGTTTTTTTTTTCTAAGAATTAAACTAAAACTTATGCTTTTAAAAATCAAATTCGTTCTCTACGCTATAGACAAAGGGCTAACAAGAATATGAGCAACAAAATATCCATGTTGTGTTAATTTTTGAAACATTTTAAATTAATATTTAAAAGTCAAACTGTCACAGAGTAATAAATGTTTAATTACACAGAAAGAAGTTGTTTAGACAAGACTAACGATAAAACAGAAGTCAAGAATTTAATAGGCAAACTATTTTATAGTAAAAACTAGCTGTTCCCATGCGACTTCATCCGCATGAAATTATAAAAAAATCATTTCATTGTTCACATTTGTCAAATTATCAATTGCAAATGTCAAATAACACATGTTTCAAATCTTGGCAACTTTGCTTCCTTGATGTTGGCAACAACTTATGGTCTCTTTCCCAAATTAGGGTTATTATCCAAAATATTTACCCCTAAGTTTAACGACATGAAAATATATATTCTAAAGCGTGAAGTAAGTGTAGGGCTTTTTATTAAAAGAAGAGTTATTCAAAAATATGCTGTAATTGCTGACATCTTAAGCAACAAAGAAGTGTGTGTTTACGCTTTATTATAATAGTAAGTAAAGATAACATGACAAGTTTTAAATACTCGTATTTTTTTAATATTCATTCTTTTTACTCATAAACAGAAGTTAATCATCCATATTTTAATTCTCATAACAAAACTTAACTAAGAGACTCTTAAGTGATTATAAAACTACATTTATGGACTCCCTTAGTAGCTCTTAAACGATTCTAAGTGTAGACAGAATCATCCATATTTAAATTGTTTATTCCATTATAAATATAGTCTAGGCAACCACAAGACCTGATTTAAAACCTATGTTTACGATACGAATACCAGAACGCGTGTATATCAAGAGCAGTCGTTAATCTAGAAAGCTTTTATATAAATAAAACGTTAAAGTTCAAACTATTTTCATGTACAGTTAGCAGCGTAGATATTTACTTTCAGAAACTAGTAAGCGTCATCTGCACTCGGCCACCTCAAGCCCGGTGAATCTGTAAATGCCTCTTCAAGGCAAACAGTCACAAAAAAAAGCCTTATGTTTCAATAATTTACACGAATCCGTCTATATAAATTCATACTATCGTACTAATATTATGAATGCGAAAGTTTATATGTATAGATACATGGATGGATGTTTGTTAGAGTTTGTTACCTAAGCTGATGAACGGATCTCGATGTAATTTGGTATAGATGTAAAAGATAGAAGAACCCATAGGCTACTTACTTTTGTTTTTTCTTTAATTCCAAGCGGACGGAGTCTTGGACGAATGTATAATGCAACTAGCTTTCGCCCGGGACTCCGTCCGTGTGAAATTAAAGAAATTCAAAAGCGAGTAGCTTATGTGTTCACCCAGAGTATCCTCTACGTCTATGCCAAATTTCATTGAAATCCGTTCAGCTGTTTAGGCTACAAACTCTAACAAACATCCATCCATTTAAACTTTCGCATTTATAATATTAATACGATAATCTGGTATGTCTATAAATTTTGTTGAATTCGAAGGCCAACACAATATCAATTGTAATGAAGAAATGTTAAATTTGAATAAGAGTTTTTAAACTATTGTTAATTTATACATTATTTTGCAGCTGACTGTACTCTTAATAACGTAGGTATCTTTTTAACACATCTACTTCAAATCATTTAAACCTATATTCTTATTTCTTCCTTACATAAAAATTAACTCTGACCTAACTGCTTGCTACTGGAATCTTTGCTTTTAATTTTGTACACTGTTTAGTTTATTTTATAACAAAAGATAGCGCTTATTATTATTCAGTAAAATGTGTTATGACGTCAACACACGAGGTGGCACTAAACTTATACATACCTTTCAAAGAAATTACCGATGAAAAAAAAATTCTTTATTGTTATCTACATATTTTTGAAATCTCTCTGATTCAGCTATGTCCTATAGATAAAAAAAAAAACAAAAACCTAACGTAAATGCATCTAAATAACGACCCCTTAAAATCCATGCCTATTACCGCTCTATTCAGAAAACTATAATTTCCATGCGCTATGTTAAAGTTACATAAGTGGTTTCTTTAGAATAAATGTATCTATCTATTTCTTGTTTATGGCTCTCCCACAGCGGATTGGGCCAGTGTCAAGTGCTTGTGGCTTTATTCTAATTTAAAGAGACTGGCAACGAAACTCTGCTTATGTAGATGTTCTTGGGTATACTAATAAATGTATGTATGTAACTCAAAGATTTAATTACTCAATTAAGCCATGGTTAATAATACAATTTTAAGTGCTATTTTTTATTGTAGGAAAACACTGGTATCGCAAGAGACCAAGTATCAAAACCAAGTGGACGCGCTCACGGAGCTGGCGGAGACGAGATGTCAGGAGGCGGAAAGAGCGAGAGATCTGATTGTATCGTACAGGAAAGAGATAGAAGCTAAGGATTTGGAGATTGAACGTATGTTACTTACCCCGTTTTAATCCAACATCGTAATATAATCAAATTCTAAAATCACACTTTTCATACTAATATCATAAATGCGAAAGTTTAGATGGATGGGTATTAGAGTTTGTAGCCTAAACGGCTAAACGGGTTTCGAATAAATTTGGCATTTACGTAGAGAATAGTCTGAAAGAACATATAGGCTACTCAGTTTTTTTTTAATTCCACGCGGACAGAGTCGCGGGCGAAAGATAGTTGTAAATTGAATAGACATTGTAAATAAAAATTAACAATAAAAAAACAAAACCGACTTCCAAACAAAATACACTAAAAACAAAATATTCTTAAAAAACAATACACTGAAAAGTAACGAAATAATTCCTTGAAAATAGAAAACCTCACTTGTTGTAGCTGTTATGTCTATATTGTACAATTATTATTACTTTGAAGTCGGTGTCAGTCAATGTAGTCCATTACTTAAACGTTACTATACATTTAATTGTCAATTGTTATGGTAAAAATGTAGAAACCCTTACGTAGAAATATCACTGCATACTTCGGCTGACACCGACATCAAAGTAATAATAATTGTACAATATAGACATAACAGCTACAATAAGAGAGGTTTACTATTTTCAAGGGATTATTTCGTTACTTTTTAGTGTACTGTTTTTTTGAGAATATCCTGTTTTTAGTGTATTTTGTTTTATAGTTATGTAAAAAGCAATATTCAACGCATCTGTAGTTTCGGTGCTGCGGATGTCAATGGGTGTCGTTGACCACCTTTGTGTTCCCGTCGCTCGTTTGACCCTTTCTCATATATAAAAGGCGCACTCCTTTGAATAAACAAGCGCACAACTGTCGTGCGATTGTCGATTGTTTCGCAAGTCAACTGTTTAGTTGCATTCAAAATCGAATAGTGCACTTCCATATAAATTCATAGGAACAGTTGTTTGATAATTAAGTCAAAGGTATCATCATCACCAGCTCACTATAGGTCCCCACCGACGGGCTCGGAGCCTACCCTAAGTTAGTGACTAGGCCATAATCAACCACATACACTGCGGGTTGACTTCACACATATCTTTGAATTTCTTCGCCGATATGCATCACGATGTTTTCCTTCACCGTAAGAACGTCGGGTAAATTGTACATATGAAAATTCGTAAAATCGAATCACATTGGTACAGCGGGATTAAAACTCAAGACTTGTAGATTACAAGTCAAGTGCTTGTCACTGAGCCACCGACGCTCTAGTCAAAGATGTGCGCACTAATAATTATAGTGATTTAGAGTTTCGAGTCGATTTACTAAAGCAAGCTATTAATTTGCATTTTTGTCTCGAATCTTTTCAGCTGAAAGAAACTGTTCTTTGGTTGTTGTACTTTCAAAGGTGAACGTACGTACGGACAATATATCTATATATCTTGTGAAATACGTACCACAAAGGAACAGTTGGCTCAATCCCAGATTGTAACTGCAACATGCTTTGTCGTATATTTTCATGTCGTGATGAATTTGTAAAGTTTTTAATAACTATTGCAATGTATTTCCTCTTTGTTTCTTTAGAATCTTTTTCTACATAATTACGTCTGTACTTATTATTATATAGAAGACTAGCTTTCGCCCGCGACTCTGTCCGCGTGTAGTTAAAAAACACAAAAGTTAGTAGCCTATGTGTTCTTCTAGGCTATCCTCTACATCTATGCCAAATTTCATCGAGATCCGTTCAGCCGTTTAGGTTACAAACTCCAACAAACATCCATCCATCTAAGCTTTCGCATTCATAATATTAGCAAGAAGTCAATAGATAGATTTCTTCACGGTAAACAACTAACTACTATGTATAGATACGTCAGAAATGACGACCTACACTTATCGGATTTCCCGAAAAAAAACCTACATTCGTACCACAGTTCTTAGAACTTAGTTCGTGATTTTCAATTGTTTTTTATCCGTCTGTATTTCCTTGCGTGGAGTTTACTGAGATTATTTGTTCCAGAATTGAAATCTGAACTAGCAGCTGCGTATAAAGAAACAGAATTAGTAAGACAGAAGAGTCGCGCGTTAGAAGATGAGATAGTTGCTGCGAGGAGTCTCTCAGCGAGTCTTGCTGATCAGCTGCAGCGGAGAAACGGTGGGTTATTTTTTATACTAAAAGATGGCAACGTACCATTTTACAAATTTAAAAACATAAATTATACGAATTCCAGATGAATCCGTACGACAACTCAGATCTGAACTGGAAGACGCGCAAACCCGACGAGCGGAGCTCGAATCTAGACTTCTGGATTTGGAGAAAGAGAGAGATAGATTGGAACATGAGAAGGAGATAGAAGCTCAGAAAGCTAAAGAGGTAAGATTAGTAACAGCGCCATCTATTATTTTTCTGTGTTTTACTATTAGCGCCATCTATTGTTATGCTCTCCAACTTGTCTAGGCATTATCAGTAGCAGAAGCGAGTAGTTCCAAATGGCGGGTAGCACATGAAGCGGCGCGCTCGCAAGCCGCCGCGCGCGCTGAGATCATACTCGCAGACTGTGAGTGGAAGATGAGGGAGTTGGAGAAACGAGCCAGGGATGCTGAGAGAGAGAAGATGGAGGTAAGAGTGATGTAACTTAGAGAGTATGTTGTGGTGTTTTGTATTTTGTTATAATAATTATTGCTTAGGACTACGTCCGCGTAAGATTAAAATATAATAAAAAAGTAGCCTATGTTACTGACTGACAACGTAGCTTTTTAATGGTGAAACAATTTTTGAAAACTGTCCAGTAGTTTTTAAGTTATTTTAATACATACAAAAATACAAATCCTCTTTATAATGTTATAAGAGCTTTGTACTTAGTAGTTTATTTAATCCGTGAAATCGTTCCCCAGTTGTCCCAAACAGTGCAAACTCTCCAGAACTCCACACACAAAGCGGAACTCCAACAATTACGAGGTCTGGTGGGGGAACAGCAGCATTCCCTGCAGAACCTCAGCTCCCGGCTCCAGGAGTTGCAGACGAGAGAAGATGAGCTCCAGGTGGAGGTGCATCGACTGGAGGAACTGCTGGATAGGGAGATCAGGAACGGGAAGGTTAAGACGGAACTGCATCTCCAGGTTTGTAGTTTTTGTAGAAACTTTTGATAATTAAAAGTTTGAAATAGTTTATAGAACTTTTAAATACAGACATATTTAATTCCATTTTATTGACATTATCAATATTATTTATCTATAGATGTCAAAATTAATATTCTCCTATAGTTTGTCTAAATAAGTTAGATTAGTTTGACAATTTAGTAGGGATGGGTTGTGTAAAAACTGTCATGGATCGTTTCGATTTTCGATTTTTATTCTTATAGAAGCCGGAATCGACAGTTTCGTAGTTATAACTTATAGCTGTTCCCGTGAGACTTCATCCGCATAAAATTCTGAAAATTTCATTTTATTGTTTACATGTGTCAAATTATCAATTGCAAATGTCAAAATGACATGACATTATGACAAACCTTGGCATCCTTGCTTCCTTAATGTTGGCAGCTTGTAGTTTATGGTCCCTTTTACACATGAAGGTTTTTTCCAGTTTATTTGCCCACTAAGCTTAATAGCGTGTAAATATATAGTCTAAAGCGTATCGTAATTTTATGGATTTTTATAAAAGAAACTGATATTATAAATATGCTGTGATTGCTGACATCCTCCACAAAGTAGTGTGTGTTTACGCTTTATTATAGTATAGATAACCTATATTCCAGGCGGTGCAAAACCTAAAATCAGAGCATACAAAAGAAATAGAGTCTTTAAAAGCGGAACACGCGGCGAGTACGTCAGCGATGACAGCGCGGCTGGCCTACGAGCGGTCAGCCGCCGAGCGCAGCCGCGCCGCCTTACTGCAACTGAAACAAGAAGCGGAACACCAAGCAGACAAAAAACTAAGAGAAGTTAATATTAAAGTAAGTACTTCAACTTTAAAATTTTCGGGTAACATTACACTTTTTTTTATACAATAAGGTAGCAAACGAGCAAGCGGCCGTCTGAATCCGCCAAAATAGGGAAGACCTGCCCATAGACAACCGCAATTGCAGATGCGTTGCACCCTAAATCGACGGAGAAGGAAATGCACATAAAGAGGACATTGCCCCTTCCAATGCGTCTCCTCCACCGTCAAATCCACTTTCCCTTCCCATCCTTTCATCTTAAGAAAGGGGTGGAAAGAGACTTAAATTATGCCTCCGGCACCACACTCATCAGACTATACGAGGAATTGCTCCCACTTCACGCCTGTCTTCTGTGTGGTCGTGGTATTACACCGGGCGTGCCGGCCCATTGTTGGGAAGATGTTAAAGCGGGCACTACCACTGTTAGTGTTTTGTTAACTTCAATATAAATATAACGGTTTTTTTCCATCATATCTGCATCCTCAGTTAGAGAACTTGAAGAAGGAACTATCAGAGAAGGAGGCGGGGTACGAGCGCGCGCTGAGCGCCGCGCGCAGCCGCGCCGACTGGGACGTGCTGCAGCTGCGCCATCTGCTGGACAAAGCGGACATCGCCTACGCCAACAACATCGAGCAGATGACGGAGAAGTTCGAGAAAGAGAAAGGTACAGTCGAGGAAATCTGCGGTGTTTCTTTTTACGAAGAAGCGACCGCTCCCCACACATCTGCAATTTCAAATTGCCTACCCTTATCAACGGATATTCACATAAAGAGGATATTTCCCCTTCCTATGCGTCTCCACTGTCAAATCAACTTTCCCTTCGCATTCTTTTCTCTTAAAGAGAGGGTAGAGAAGGAAAGGGACTAGAATTAAGCAATGCTTCCACTTCACGTGTCTTTTGTGTGATCATGTTACGACATGACGAATCTGACAGTGCTAAGATGTTAAAGAGAACTCTACCACTGGTAACACTAGTTCCCTCTTATCGCCAATACCAATTCCTCTTTTCTAGAACGTTTAACAGAAGAATGGAGTGAGAAGCTCCGTGTGGTAGAAGAGCAGGCAGCAGTTGCCGCTGACGAAGCTCGCAGACAGCTGGAGACATCACGCAGTAAGATGCTGGCGGAGAAATACGAACAGACATCAAAACTGAAAGAACAACATCGCGTTGAGATGGGTAATTCTGGTACATTAGATTATTAATAACCCCTTTAAATCGAAGTCATGTCCTGACACATTTTACATTGTAAATTCTCATATAAAACTTACACACGTTTTTATCTGAACAGATCGATAGTTCAGGTATAATCTACCTTCTTCTATACTAATATTATAAAGAGGAAAGATTTGGATATTTGTATGTATAAAGTCAATAATTACAGGGCCGATTTAAAAAAAATCTTTTACCATTATAAAGCTACCAGTATATAACATCGGCTGTTAACTATTTTTTAATTTCGGATGAAGTCGCGTGCAACAGCTAGTAGATTATAATATAATTAGTAAAATGGAATTATAACAGACATATTTTGTAGAAAAGTGTTGACTAAATCTGCTTTTTAGAGTCCATACAATCCCTCATATAAAATTAAACAACCAAAAACCAAGCTTACAAACATATACATATCTCTCTTACTCTTCCAGAGAGCCAATGGGAGCAATTCATGTCAGACAAGGAAAGCTGCTTGTCGCGCATGAAGAGCGAGTGCAGGCAGGAAGGAGAAGAAGAGAGAGTGCAGAGAGAGAAGGAGCTTATGAGGGAGATTGCAGGTAAAGTAGACATATCTCCTAGAAAGTTCTAGTGATTGCCCCTCTGTTTTGAAAAGACGTTATAAATATTTTATCAGTGGAAATAGGCAATATTAATTAACTGATTTTAGTATACTAATATTATATAGAGGAAAGATTTTTTTTGTAATGTATTGAAATAACTCAAAAAATACTGGTCTTATTTTAAAAAAAAATCACCATTAAAAAGGTACAATATCACTGAGTTACATATGTTTTTGTCATTTTTCTTAAATTTTCGTGAACAAAGTCACTAGCAATAAAAATAAAAATTAAAAAACCTTATTATTTTAACTTTTAAGTTTATAGGTTATGTTTTCTTTCAGAATTGAAATCTCAAATTCAATCGAAAAGCGTTGAATTTGAAAATTTGGAAGCGAAAGTGGCGAAGTGCGGTCGCACTCTCGCCGTCACTGAACAAGAACTTAGGTAAGTTTGAAATACTACAATAAAGTGAAATGCATGTGATTTTTATTTGATTTAATACAAAAATACATAATAAATAACCAAAATATACATAAATTCATGCTTAATGTATTTCTATGTAATATAAAATAAAATAATATTAAATAAATATTTAATAATTTGCTTGATTTTCATGGATTTATCTCATATGGCATTAATTCCATTTGTTATTGGTAGCAAATATGTCACAAAAGGGTTATTATTTTTAAATTGTAGATAACTTGTTTGATTTTAAATACTAATAAAAAAGATATTGTCTTTTGGACAAATTTAGCTACCACTCGCATGAAATATCCAAATATATGTCTTTAAAATAAATAAAATAACAAATAAACCATCATCTCTATCAAATTCACATAAACAATGTCTAAAACAAACACATTTTATTATTAGAAAAATGTCCAAAAGGCAGTATTGCACTGAAATACAATAAAATATGAATAAAACACGTTTTATGCTAGTAACAAAACCCGCGCCAAAAATAAAACAAAAACTCGACCATAGACTATAATTTTTAAATGTCATTAACATCTTGCAAATCGCAAAGAGTAGTTTAGAACTCACAAATACACTTTTTTTTAAATCGACAGTTAAAATATTAGATATTCTATACACGACTGTTAACATTGTTAACTTTGACAGTAGTTAAGTTAATTGTTGAGTTTTAAATATGAAAAAATGGCGGGAATGATACCAAAATGTCATAATTGACAGTTGCAGCTGGCTTGGCGCGTTGGTCGCCGCGTCGAGCGCTTGCGTGCTCATGGGATCCCTACGTCTCGCTCTCGCTACATTTTTCCTCTCACTCGCACTATTATTCTACATACATAATGTTAATAAAAAGAGAAATTCAAATATTAATTATCCTGACTCGTAATTTAAAAAATGTAATATTTCCGAACTGAAATATTAATTTTTAATTTAGAGCTTTTAAGCATAATTATTGTTTTTTTTTATTTACGGTATGACGTACTGCCTAATTGGACTGATGTAAGGACATTTTAGTAACCAAAGAGAATTATAGAGGTTTAAAGATTTTTTTTATTTAGATTTTAAGTCAAATATTTTAATCAATTTATAGTTAAACATTTTAAATAAAATAAATAGAATATAACTAATCAAATATAAGATAACTTTTTCTTACTATTTTAACATTTTTCTGTACTTTTCTTTGGTTTAAAAATTATAAATTCACAAACATATTTCGAAATGTGATCTAGTCATTATCATTTTCTTTACATTAATTGTATTATATACATATTTTATTTATAACATTATCTTATATAAAGCTATTGTAAATTTTAATAACTGCTCAAATTTATCTTTCAAAATAACTTTATATTATAACTGTTGTTTAACTTTATAATATTTTATAACGAATTTTGAGCCAATTAAAATACTTTCGTTCGATCTTATTTGTTTTTTTTTTCAATTTTTATGATACGTAGCATCTCATTCTGCCAAGTAATATGGCGACGATAATTTTGTACATTTTAAAACTATGCTTTACACGGATTATATTAAAAAAATGAAATTAAAAATAAACTCTAAAGTTTAGACACAGTACAATTCAGTGAATTATACAAATTACCAACTAAAAGTTTTATCCCCGAATCCGACTAACATTGTAACAGAGAGGCACTCGCTCGGGAAAAAGAAGAGAGAGAGAAGAGAGGGGAACAGGCAGTGAGACTGCAGCAAGTGGAGAAAGCGGCAAGAGAACAGATTGAGCACTTAACAAGGAAATGCGCTTGTTTGCGGAAACTGTAAGTCATTTTAAACAAATACGAACACTATTAAATGGAATACCAAATAATTGAACTTTTCAATTTAACTCAACTGAATATCTTTGATGATAAATAGGAGTAAAAAAAGTAAATAACAATTGCTATAAGTCACTAATATGACACTTTGTTACTTTAATATATTTTAATGATGTAATTAATTTACTAAAAAAAATTGTAACTGATTTAAAAACTTATAACAAAACACTGTTAAACAATTCTTTTCGCGCTAATTTACGTTGACATTTCGAACAGACTATAGAAGAAAAAAATTTACAATCTCTACTCTTTGACCCATAACCATAGAAATCAACTTTTTAATATTCAGTTTCGACGACATGCGCGCGCGGCTGTCGACCTGCGAACACAACGCCGACCAGGGGGCGAGAGCGAGAGAGAAAGAGATGCATCTTCTGCGTACAGAAGTCGCCAGACTCACCAAGATGTTGGTAGAAGAAAGGTCAGACACCTATAGAGAACATGACGTTACATTACAATCACAAATACTTAATATTTAAAGAAGCCATTTAAAATTCACTCTTGCTTTTATAAGCCATTAATTGTTTATAAAAGCCAATAAATATATTGTTATTCTTACTTATACTTTGTCTGTTTTCGTGGCTAAAAACTAAAATGTCTTCTGTTCCCAAAGGCAAATCAAAAACTTCTGTGAGTTATTTAAAAAAAAATATGTTGATAAGCTTTCTTTTTGAAACAAAAAACTGTTTATCCGTTTTAAAATTATCATAGTAACAAACATCATAACTTTATTAAACCATCTTTTAGAGCATGCGCCTTTGACTAAACTACCACACAACCGTTTAGTCTCGCTTTGATTCTTATGAACTTATATGTGTACACACAACTCGACTTTTAGTGCAACTAAATAGTTTAATCGACAACTGTTGTTCGATAATTTAGTCAAAGGTGTGCGTCCGCTCTTTTTCTGCACTCTGGTACACTTTGCACATTATAACTGTTGTTTCTTGTATAATTGATATTTGCAGTTCACCAAACTTAGGTGCAAGAACTCGCGCCGACGGTTGTGAGAATTCGACCAAATCTGACGAATTCCTTACTAAAGCCGCAGCAGAAGAAGATATACAACAAAATGGTGAGATGTTTTTATGTAAGTAACGCTTTATTCTTCTAATTGCTTTTAACAAACATTTTACTCCATATCTTTACTCTATGCTATTATAATAAAGCGTAAACACACACTTCTTTGTTGCTTAAGATGTCAGCAATTACAGCATATTTTTGAATAATTATTTTTTTAATAAAAAGCCCTACACTTACGTCACGCTATAGCCTACATATTTTCACGCTATTAAAATTAGAGAGTGAATGAATTAAAAAAAATGTAATGCGAGAAAGAGACAAAAACTTCAAGCATGTAAGAAACAACTGTATGCTATATTACTAACAAACGTTACATTCTCTACGAGTCTAAATTAATGAATTAATATAACGATTTTAGGTAATTTACTATATAGGGTGATACGTAACGGCCGAATCACAAGTTTTATGAACTTAGAGGACATAAATAGCGTTTATGCGCCTATGTTACCCGATTTCCTATAGTATTTAAGTTTTTTTTTTTAATCCTTTGCCTTCTCAAAGCTTGTGATGCGTCAGTTAAGAATCATCCTGTATATTAACATCTAATACAAATTATTTATGTCTACAGGAGGGACATCCCAAAAAGGTCGACGTCGCGCCAAAAGTTGACGAATTCAACGACGTCCTTACATTATAGCTGCTTGAAAACACATCCGATAATTTTAAAAAAAACAACAACTCCTTTTCCCTTCTCTCCAAGAACAAATATATGCTTAGGCAACTAGAATAAGCTTATTATTAATTTACAAGTATAATTAATATCCTCGAATTATTATTCATTTTAAAATTATAATTTAATCCAAATAAGTTAGCGTATTTAAATTCGGAACATGTTTCCATAGACACAAAAATTCGTGGGAATGTCTTAAGAGCTTATGTCATTTTTTAAAAAATACAGAATATTTTAATTATCGTGTTAAATACAGTCATTTTAATCAATAATTTAGTTTTGAAATTAGTATGCAGTAGTCTTGTAATACTTTATACTCTTTTGTTATTTAAACGGAACTTACCCGAAAGAGAAAAGGGTATTTTAAGTATGAGAAAAAGAAAGTTAATGATTATTCCCTATTGGTATAGATAATAGTAGAGTTCACAGCACATCGATGCTGCACGAAAATCCCGCTCGGTGCAAAATCACGACTATACGGAAAACACGCGTAAATTCGTCTAAAGTGAGTGTATGTCGTAGGCCAAAATCTAGTCATCGCCCCTTCCCATCCCAAACTTTTGTGGAAAGGAGAGCAGAATTAGCGCGGGAAGGGACGTATAATATCGAACATCCTAATGTGCCTACCATCTGTTAATTTAAGAAGATTTAAATTGTCTATGGGCAATCGCAATTTTAGAAATATCAAATAACCGATTGCTTGTTTTCCATCTCACTATGAAATTCTTAGTTATTTCGTATATTAATGATTATGTCCCAATATAGAATGTTAATGTTTTAACTACAATTTCCCGATAAATGTAAGTTTACTTAAGATAAAGCTGTATTTACTCATTCACTATGTAAATAAAATGTATTTTCTAATAAAATATAAACAGAAAATCAAACTTTGGTTTTATTTCAATAACATTTAGTTATTTTTTGCATTATGGAAATTAAAACGGGAGTTGCAACTCGATCCAAAATTCCGAAATATTTCTAAAGTTAAGAATTGCGTTTTTCAGTTCAGGTTACTGAAGATTAACTATTTTAATAAGAATAAAAGAGATCTAAAATATTATATGTATAATGTACCTACTTATTTCCTGCGAGCAAATATCGTTTATCGAAGCCTTATTTAATTTCAAACCTGATTTTTTTATGGCACAAAGTTATACTGTCATAGCGCAAAAACCAATCTATCAATGTCAAATTGGTGTTCTTAGTATTACATTTGACAGTTGTGACTTATTTTTGTGTTTTCTAACCTAAGAAATCGTTATAATCGGTGATATAATATTTAAACAGAATGTCTAATAGCAATTTATTCTTGAAATCCGGCTTCGTTAGAGCGCCGCTACAAAACGGTGTCGGTCGTTATGTCTGTCAGTTACAAAGGATTGTTTTGAAGTTCTGTAAAAGTCATGGAGGAAGTCGAGGATTACGGTAAGAAATTAAAATAAATTTCGTATATATACTTAAACGTTAAAAATATACTAGAAAAGTAATGAAAAGATATAATTTCGATTCTACAAAATCCTTAATATATCTAAGTTTACCTTAGGAAAGGGACAAACTGCCCTCCTTTCTCAAATTGCAAGAATATTAAAAAAATACTTTGCAGCATTTTCTTATATATTTAACTGTTGTTAAACCTTTTTTTGAGACAAGTTCCAGTTCGTTAAATCTGTATTTTGTTTATATTTTCAGTGAATACATAGAACAGGATCTGGTAGACTTTGCTTCAAGCAACCCGAGTGTGGTTGTTTACTTAAAGCCACGACGACATCGGAGCCCTGTTGTTGTAGCTGAATATTGTAAGTATTCATTATATGGTGAATAAATCATTTAGTAGTTAATTGCCAACTAGTCCAAGAGTAAGCCAGTTTCTTTAAACCTCTAAATGTTAACATTTCAGTTAATATGTACAATTATTGAATACATTTTCAGGACTACTACTATCAAACTTCATCTAAAATAGTTTTATTATCTAATTCATAATTGAACACTATTTAAGAATAACTGTTGCCTACAACTTCCTCCACATGAAATTCACAAGTCCAAAACTTATGTTCACCTCTTTTTTTAACCTATTACCTAAAGTATTTACTTAGTAGTAATCTTTTAAAGAACCGAAATCTACTGATGCAAAATTTCAAATTTCTAAGTCCGGTAGTTTCTGTGCTGATTTTTCCTTTACCCTGATTGTCTGTGTTCATAATATCTTCTTAAATATTAATCCAGAACAGAAAGCTAAAATAAAAATTTACAAATATTGAAAAGCTTATGATATGCTCTCAGCTCTAGTGCGGACTTATAGTGAGCTGTGATGAAGATATATTTTTGAGTTAAAAGTTGTTGAAATTATATCTTACAGTATTCTTTCATTACAGTAAACGGTGACAGAGTATGGATGAGTATGCACAACAAAACTCACTCGGAAATCACAAAATGGATCGAAGTTCTCCGCACACAGCAGGGTGATGTCTCATCAACTAGACTACGAAAGTACCAATATACTGACTACCCTTCAGTTCAAGGTCCCTGGACACCGTTCACATATAAAAACCCTCAGTTAAATGTAGCCGAGCTACCCAATGATGAATTTGGTGCCAACAATAGACTACCGATGTCTGCTACTGAACAATTAAAACTTATGTTTGAGAAGAAACAACTTGAAATCAAACCTAAAGAAGAATAAGATAGAAATAAACACACTGTAGGTACCAGAGATTCGAGAAATATATAGAGGAGACATAGTTGACGCTTGAGACATTTTTCATAATCTCACTTGTGTATTGAAAGTTAAAACCACATGTCAATATAATTTGGGTAATTATATTGACATGTGGCCTAATTTGGGTCCCTTTCTCTTTACCACCCTTTTCTTATGAGTTGATGGGAAGGGGAAGTGGATTTGACGATGGAGATGCATAGGAAGAGGGGATTTCCTCTTTATGTGCGTCTCCTCCTTCGTCGGATAAAGGCAGGCAACGCATCTGCGATTGCGGATGTCTATGGACAGCGGTTGCTTCGCCATTTTGGCGGATTCATGTGGCCGCTTGCTCGTTTGCCACCTTGTTAAAAAAAAAAAATTAACTAGCTTTCACCCGCGACTCTGTCCGCGTTGAATTAAATAAAACAAAAGTGAGTAGCTATATGTTCTTCTAGACTATCTTCTAAGTCTATGCCAAATTTCATCGAGATACGTTTAGCCATTTAGACTGCAAACTTTAACAAACATCCATGTAAACTTTTCGCATTTATAATATTAATAAGATTGTATTTAAATTAATTTATATTTTATTTTATAACAAACTAGCTGTTGCTGACTTCGGCCGCGTGAAATTAAAAAAATAATACAAAAGATAGCCTATATTACTCGCAGATAAATTACCTTTCAAATGGTAAGAGAAATTCTTCAAGCCCAGTAATTTGCGTAATTTTAATACATAAAAAATTCCAAAAATATTATTCTTTTCTCTTTATAGTATTAGTACAGAAGATTGAGCTTATTATAATTTTGTATAATGATTTGACCGACTTCCCAAAAGAAGGAGGTATCCAATTAGTCTATATGTTTTTTTTTTTATGTTATTACATCAATACATGAGGTGGCACTAAACTTGACAACTGATGTACCTATCAGAGAAAGTACCGGTGAATTTTTCTCAATGTCTCCTCTACATATTTTAAATGTCTTTGACTCTGACTTCTTTTGTAAGAGTCCTTAATGTTATGAGACAAACTACTTTATAAGTTCACATTAAAAATATTAGAATAAATGTTTTTACTTAGATTTGTAGAAAATATTTGTAAATAGAAAAACTTAGTTTTATTAGTTTGAAGTAAATGGAAGGTTTAAATAGAATCCCTTCAATACTAAAACAAACTTTTATTTACAAACCTTTGTACCACTAAATAACAATGAACTGATAGTTAAAAAACAAATAATCCATCTCATATGCTTAAATAAAAAGATCTACACTTGCGTCACGCTTTAGGATATATATTTTAACGCCATTAAACTTAGTGGGTAAATATTTCGGATGTAAACCCTAATGTGGGAAAGAGACCATAAGGTGCTGACAACATCAAGGAAGCAAGGTTGTCATGTTTTGTCATCATGTCATGTCATTTTGACATTTGTAATTGATAATTTGACACATGCTAACGATATAATAAAATTTTCATAATTTTACGCGGATGAAGTCGCATGGGAACAGCTATATACATAATTTACTGACGTATGGTGAAGGAAAACATCGTGATGGACATCATCATCACCATCATCCTCCTTACCCTACTCCCGTAGGGCGCAACAGGTTTTTGTCCTCCAAATAACTCTATCATACATCATCTTAGTCATATGTATAAAGTCAACCAACCAGCAGTGGGTCAGTGTAGTTGACTGGTCTAGTTCACCCCTTACTTAGGGTAGGCTCTCAGTGGGGACTTATACAGCTGGTAATGGCTTAGTAGCTACTGACCAATAGGATCCACCTCGGACCGCTTCTCTTTTACGCAGGGTTCGGGAGAGTAATAACAGCATCCTAAGTGGGCTATGCGACAAGCCCAACTGCCCAATCATGGGCCACTGGGTCCACATAGCTAGCTTTAGGTCATGTTATAAGTAGATCTAATGTTTTTATTCTTGTTAAGTGTAAATATTTCAATTATATGTAATATATCTTACATGAATTAGATAAATAAATTAAATTAAGGCTAGTCTATAGCTCTTCATCTATCTCTTCTTTCTTAATTTTCTTGCTCTTAATATGTGAATTTTTAATATGAATTCTAACATATCTTTCTGATTTGAATTTCTTGCCGCATATTTCACATGCATGTGTATTCCCACAGTTATCATGAACTCTACGCATATGTGTTAATAAATACGATTTACTTTTTAATATAGATTTACATATATAACATTGATGCGGTTGACAATGACAGTTCTTTATATGATCTTTTAGACTGTTGTTATTAGTGAAAACTTTGTTACATTCTTTACAAGGTATTTTTTCTTTCGTATCTAGATTTGTACGATTCCTCCATGGTGCTGTTATCCCGTCATGTACGTACATTTTATGCCTACGTAAATAGACGGGTGATTTAAATTTCGTTAAGCATAGTGAACATTCAAATTGTTCATTTGAATGCTTATATTTTATATGGTAATACCATCTTTTGTATGGTAACACTAGCCCACAAGTATCACATTTATGTTTCATTCCTGTTTTTAATTTTTTTTTATTGTGCACAGACATGTGTGTTTCCAATTTATGTTGATTTGTGAAGTATTTCGCACATGTATGGCATTGGAATATTTTATTATTTATTATAACTCGTAAATGTTTCATGTTGTGTGTTAATAAAAAATATCTGTAATGAATAAAATATATTTTATAAAATTAGCATTTAAAAAAAAAAGCAAGTAGCCTAGTACAAATGGTTCTTCCCTGTATGCTAAATTTCATCAAGATCCTTTAAACTGTTTAGGCTATTAACAAACTTCCAGCCAAATATTCACATTTAAAATAGATAAGCAATAGTTATCATACTAATATTATAAATGCAAAAGTTTAGATGAATGTTTGTTAGAGTTTGTAGCCTAAACTGCTGAATGGATTTTGATGAAAATTGGTATATATGTAGAGGACAGTCTGGAAGAACACATTTGTTTTTTTAATTTCACATTGACAGAGTCCCGGGCGAAAGCTAGTACTAATATAAATGTGAATGTCTATGTGGATGTTATTAGATATCTTCAAAACAGCTTGAATCTTGATTAAATTTGTCACAGATGTAGAATATATTCTGGAAGAACATATAGGCTATTTAATTTTTTTCTTAATTTCACGAGGAAATATCAATAGCTAGAGTAATTAAATCCAACTGACTCTGGAGAAGAATACGAAACCAATGACATTACTCGTTTAAGAGTTCAGTTGTTTAAACTACTGGTTACAGTGAAATTTAAATACATATCCCTCGAAAGGTAGGGCATAGGGTAATAATAGTAGTAGAGTATGAAAAAAAGCAATTAAAACGGTACCTTTCGACAAATTTTTGGCCACAAATTCGACATTGATTGTTCTTTTCCGCTTCGTTTAATTGTTTTTCAATCTCTGCGAATAAAGCTTCATTTTTCGCATACCAAATCTCATCCGGAGTAGCACATTTTTCAATTTTTACGCTAACATTATAGTCTAAAAGTTGATTTTCCTCTTCTCCAAATTCGGTAGGTTCTTCTTTTATAATAATTCGATTCTTAAAATCCATTTGTTTGTAGATAGTTTGTAGTAAATAACTTTTTAAACAAGGAATTCGGTAAGAATAAAATGGGTCACCAGCTGTCAGCTGTCAATGTCAACAGCTAAACATTACGTTTTCGTTCGAAAATTCCATAGAGGTTTCGAAGAAAAATCGATTTAAAAAATCGTTGAATCGATTTTTAAAATTGTCGACAAGGGATGAATTTAAGTTAAAAATACACATATAAATAAAAAATAAATATTTTATTAATATCACAGTTTAATAAAACCTTCCCTTGATATCTAATTCTGGTAAATGATCAATTTCTTTTATGAATTCATTATAATCACAACAAAAGCTGTGGGTTCCGTCATTCGAGCGCCATCTCAACCATGAATAGTTCTGATTTCCGTCACAGATGTCGCTGCAGAACGTTAATTCGTCTATCATAGTTATGTTGTAATAAGAAGAATTGATTGTGACAAATGCCACTGCTGTTTTCTCTTCTGAATCGTATACTACCTGCAAAACCAAGAGTTAACCGTTGCTTATCTTTTATAAACAATTTACTATACAGTATTCACTATTCACGGGTAGGTAATTTATTTCTTTTAATATACCTACCTTATAAAAATATAGAGGGACAGGAATGATTCTATTATTGTTTTCATCAGCGTGCAAGTACAAGTCGTGTTCCACACCGAAGGCATCAGCCAGTGTGCACACACCATGTGTCCCAGTGTAAACAGTAACCTTCCTACCTCTGCTGACCACACGACGGCGTAATGCCTGTAATACATGCATTGCATTAAAGTCTAACGGCTTGTCCCACCACTGGCTGATAGCGGCTCAGATAGTTTAAAAATTACGAACTGTCTCATAAGGGAAATTCGAGAACGTTCGATTGTTATCAGACAATTTGATAGGACTGACAGTTTCATTCACAGACCGGTGCGCAGAGGACATTTTTAATCTATTATAAGGAGGAAAGATTTAATTGTTTGCATTGAATTAACTCCGAAACTACTTATCCGATTTAACATTTCGCTATTACTAGTTTATATTATCAGGGAGTACCATAGACATTTTACATGAAAGAGAAATATGGATGTGATAGAATGAAAAGATATGAGATGTATCATATTCTTTGCCACTCAGCAAAAATCTGGGATCGTTAAACGCAAATGAAATTGGGCTTTACGGGATAGTAATAAGGTTTTATTTTACTTTGTACATTTTTTATAACGAGCGTAAATTGATCGTTTGGAGTGTACATTTCATAACTACCTACATCCTCTAAAGCCGCCCAGTCTCCGGCGTTCCCTCTCATCCATTGTGGAGCTGCGTTGATGTAGTGGAAGGAAGCGCGCTGGTGACTTCGAAGTGCAAAATCCGCCCTTGGTGCTAAATGACCACGTGTAAGAAACTGGAAAAGCACAAGTAAAACCTATTTTCATGGGATAATTTTTTTGTAAAATTTCAAACATTGTCCTAATATAGTATTGCTTAGTACTGGTTTTAGCGTTACTAGTGCCTTGGACGGGATTACTACAACTACATTGGGGTTTACAGGGTTTCGTGAGATCATGTAACTCGTAGCCCAAACACGCCCTTTCTTAATATCTACCATTCACGCTATTCCGGATGTGACGATGTTTTTCACAGAAATAGTCAATGTAAGTAGTTTTCACCTGTTTTTTTGTAATGTACTGTTGGTCCATCTTATCTCCAACTGCGTCGTTGATCTTAGCTCTCTGGTTCTTCAGCGCGTATATATTTGCCATGCGCACCTTGCCGAATACACCCGTGTCTAAATTAAAACTATAAAATAACTTAACAATCTACTACAGCCGCAGTTAATGGGCTAAACTTTTTTCTTGATGCAATTATGCGTGCTCACTGCCGAAAAAAATACTAATAAGAGCGTGCGTACAACTTTGACTATCGTACAACTGTTTAGTCGCGCGTTGATTTCTATGAGCTTATATGGATGTGCGCACACTACTCGATGGTTAGTTGTGCAACTAAAACTAAACGGTTGAATCGGCTATAAAACAATAGACAATCACACTATAGTTGTTCGATAGTTCATTCAAAGATGTTCGCCCGCTCTTAGACTCTGATTTTCAATTTTCTAAAGTTAGATTTCCAATCTTTCCAGATTATATAAATCAGAATGTACTTTTTTATTGCTTTAGTGGGAAATCAAATTTATTTTATAGTGTTAGTATTTCAGTAATAGCAGTTAAAAATAATTTACCAATAAACGAAGGCCGTCTACCACCTGACTGGTGGTACTTGGCCTCTGGCGTCAGTTCGTGCTGTACGTATACTGTCCTCAACACACCCTCGTCAAAGCAAGCCTCGTACAGAGTGTAGAAATTATCGGCAACGCGGTAACCAATCCTACGATATCAAAAATAGTTTAATAAAAATATGTAAAGATTCTGCAAGGTTATATTGTTCATTTTTATGTATAAAATTGGTTCCTAAAATGCAGAGCCTGTTTCAATAACTTTATTTTTTCCAATTACTTTGTAACATAGTAGTTTTTTATATTTCTTGTAGACTTAACTAAGCTAGTGCTAAGATTTGGGTCACGACAGTCACATGTTAGGGTTTGTACACTCTACTCCCTCCCTAATCATAGCAGCATAAAAACGGAGTGTTACTCTACCTGTAAATTTTATGGCCATCGTAGCACGAATAGTTCGTGGCTTCTACCGTGAACCAAGGTGAAGCGTTACATTTAATCTGTTTAAATTCGCCAACCCATCTCCCAGCGTGGAATATTGTACCTGATATACATTGAACTTTCTGGAAATAAAATATTATTTACTGGAAACTGTAACTATTCATAAACAATAATCGGTATCGTTAATCGTTAGGAATCGATTTTAAATTCACTTCTTATTTTTATCTGATTTATTATTTCTATATTCAACGTTGTTTTACACCGTTAAAAAACTAAAATACAATAAAACATACGCTTGAAATTTTTATGACTTTAATCACAAGACCTGAAGTAGAATTTTTACTGTATAATTATTTTCACATTATATAGCCTATACTTTAATGTAGTTAGTGTGTTATAAAAATATTATAGAAAATAATAACTTACAACAACGTCTAAATCCGTAGTATGATTGGATAAAACAACAAATCTATTTTTCCCAGGACACCCTACGAATAGTGTTTCCGAACGTCGTACCAAAATGTCACCCGTAGTTGCGTTTGGCGCCAAAAACTTCCCGCTCTTGACGTAAACAGGTGACGGATCTCCGAAATCATTTTTTAACGATAAATTGCAATCTAAAAGTGTAATTAAATGGTACTTAAATATTTTATCGAGTTATTTTGTAAGAAGTCGATCTATGGACTGGAAAACAACATATATTAGTTGTATACGGTCGTATTTGCTTTTATTATCCTCATATTTAGATGCAATAATACGCTCACACTACTGCCAGGCAGACAAAGATTCAACGTTTACAGTTTTCCTTTGTTTCAGTTCAGAACAAAGCTTCATTTCAAGAACAATGCACGTATTTTGCAACAAACTCGATATGCGTATTTACAAACCAGTTTGTTTATTTTAATATTTTTTCCTCATTATTCCGTTATGTGTTGTAATTTTGTTTTTAAAGTTAACAAAAAAGTATAGACAATATTATATACTTTTAAATGTAGGTTATCGTAAGAAAAATAATTTAAATAATTTGTAGGTCGTCCCAAAAGAAAATTTCTAATACAAATTTTCAAATAAATCTAGTAAGCCATGTTTTCATATTATTTAGTAATTTTATTTTAACTAGCTTTCACCGGGACTCGGTCCACGTGCAATTTAAAAAAAGTGTGCGTTCTTCCAAATATCCTCTACATCTATGACTTTTATCGAGATCCGTTCAGCAATTTAGGCTACAAACTCTAATATCCATATACATTTTATTCGCATTTATGTTACGAAAAGAATATTTTTAAACATTAAAGTAATAAAGGATCTTATCGTATTAAAACGATTTATATAAAAAATCTTACCTCCAATTATTTCATTGACAGATTTTAATATTATAAAAAACACAAAAACACTTCGTACGGTCATCACAACGCTCTCGTAGACCGTTTTATAACGGTACGATATAACTGTGCTCTGATCAATTAGTGTTGTGCAGCGATAAAACTTGCACAATAGTTTATCGATTTATTTGCGTTTTGATAACATCAGATGACAATTTTATTTTACGCCCCTTACATACATGAATGTTAAGCGGAACTAATCATACTAATATTATAAATGCGAAAGTTTAGATGGATGTTTGTTAGTTTGTAGTCTAAACGACTGAATAGATTTCGATGAAATTTAGTATAGATGTAGAGGATAATTTGGAAGAACAGATTACTCACTTTTATTTTTAATTAATACCACGCGGATAAAGTTGCGGGCGAAAGCAAGTATTGATATAAAAATTGAAATTCACTTCGTTATACTTCGCGTTCCGGCGAAGTGATTGGAATTGTAAAGATAATATATTGAAAAAAATACCTACAGTTCATGTTGCCTTGGTACATTCAAGATGGACTTTCAGTTTTGGTAACATTTGGTAGGATTAGGAGTTTATGTGAAAATTAAATTAAATAAAATGCTTAACAACCCTAAACATACATCGCGTGAGTCACGCGAGGTTTTATTTCAAGAACTCTTGCATACGTCAGAAAACACGTGGGTAAATAATAATTTTACTATTACAAATTCGTTTTAGATGGATGGATGTTTATTAGGTATCTAAACAAAGCTAGATGTAGAACATAGTCTGGAATAAAACATAGGCTAATTACTTTTTTTTATTCCGCACGGACAGTTGTGGTCAAAATTAAACTTATAAAATTAAAATTTTCTACAGTAGAAATTAGTCAGATTAAAAAGATTTTTTTTTTATAAATAATTAAAACCAATTTTAATGTTTGTATGATTTATTAACAATTGACTTTTTATATAATTTACATAAAACAAATATACATTAAATGCAATAAAAAATAAAAAAAAAATCATGATAAACAAATCAAAAAATAATTTTTTTACTGGTTCCAATATAAATATCACGTCACACAAACGACATAGCTATAGCGAAGCGATAAATTTTCTACAACATTTAAAAACGAATCTATTTACTTATTTTTGCCATTTATGATTGTGATAGCATCTTGATAATCATCATCATCATGTCCTTATCCTACTCCCGTAGTGTCGGCGCCACAGGTTTTGTCCTCCACATAACTCTATCATACGTCATCTCAGTCATCACTCCCTTTTTGATCATGTCACCACACAATCCATCTCTTTCTATGTCTACCTCTACCGATGTACCTCCACATTCATAACTAACGTTCTCCTTGTAACAAGCGATTCATCCCTCCTCATAACATGCCCCCATGCTAACCTTTAAACCAAACCACATTGAAAATCTTTGAAAAAAAAATTGACTGACCCACAGTTACTTTGTTTCCAAGAAATAATTTCTAATGTTAAGAACATTACACACTATTCAAGGTATATTTATTTATTAGCTTTCACCCGCGACTTCGTCCGCAAGGAATTAAAAAAAACAGAGGTGTTCTTCCTATGTGTTCTTCCAGACTATCCTCTGCATCTATGCCAAATTTCATCAAGTTCCGTTTAGCCGTTTAGGCTACAAACTCTAACAAACATCCATCCATCTAATCATTCGCATTTATATTAGTAATATATAGCTTCGCTTCTGTCATTTGTGTGGCACGAGTTTTAATTAACAAGAGTCGATTTCTAATGCTTAAGATTATTTATTTCAAAACGTCTCACTCTATTTTATTATTTTAAAACCTTACTCTAGACAAATAATCAGTCTACTTCTGAATTATGTAAAATAGCCATAGCGATAAGTTTTAATATGGAATATTTTGACACGAGAAATTTTACTCCAGTAACTGATATAGTCCTACAAGGATTTTGAGTTTTTGATATTGTCAAGGGGCGCCTGTTAATAAATTAAAAAAAAAATCCCAACTACTTTTAATGTGTTTTTGTTTAGGATACAAGGTGGGAAACGAGCAATGGGCCATCTGAATCCACTGAAATGGAAAGCGGCCGCTGCCCAAAACATCCGCAATTGCAGTTGCCTACCCTTCATTGACGGAGGAAACGCACAAAAAGAGGACATTTCCCCTTCCTATGCATCTCCTCCGCCGTCAAATACACTTTTCTCTTAAGAAAAGGGTGGAAAGGGAAAGGGACTAAAATTATTCCTCCCGCACCACACTCATGACTGTACGCGGAATTGCTTCCACTTTACGCCTGTCTGTGTGATCATGGTATTGGTGAGAGCCCTACAGTGCGAAGATGTTAAAACGGACTCTACCACTGTCTAAAATTCACCCATGTTGAAAATAAAACCCAATATTATGGTTATTTTTCTTTAAAATCGGATTTCGAAATTTTAGTCGCCCTTTCATTGGTCAAAATATAACTTTCAAGATGACATTGTTAGTAACAAAACTACCAACTGC